TGCGGGGGGGAGAAGGGCCGCGGGTGGGTGCGCTGCGGCGGGGGTGGGCGGGGCCCGCGGCCTGAGGTCGGGGCGCTTTGCTCCCGGGGGCGGGGCTGGGTGGGGAGGAGGAGGAGTGGGCTGAGCAGCCAAAGGCCGGACGGTGCGCTCCTTGGAAAGCTCCCGACGACACTAATCTCAAGAGCTTCCTACGTTTATGGAGCCTTTTCCAAGTAAGAGTGTGTGATCCTGTGTCTCAAATACCTTGTAATCTGGCCCTGCTGTGAAGACAAGACAGCCCTGGCAGGAAACCCACCGTGGTTTGTGGGAAGACCACTGGACAGAGTCAGGAAACCTGGGTTTGAATCCGGCTCTAGCTACTTGCCCAGATGTGCCACCCCAAGGGGGGGCTTGACAAAATGAAAGCCTTATTCAGGTGTCTTATGCTGATGATCCGTGGAAGACAGGAAACCCTGGAACACCTAGGGCCCATATAACCAGCCTTGGAAGCCCATCCTGGCGTCACATGCCCGCCGGTCTGGCCACTGGATCATTTGTCTTCCAACACCACCCACCTTCCTCTTCCACCAGGGGAAGTGGTCCGCTCCCGGCCAGACAAGACTGGGCTTTAGTCCCGGCCATGCGGCTTCCTGGCCATGTGGCCCTGGGCAACTCCCTTCACCTCAAGAGCCTTAGTTTCCTTATCTGTAAAATGGGGTTTTCACCTCTTTGGGGCCTTTGGTTGCTTCATGAAGTCTTTGTAAAAACTGCAAACATTTTTGTTTTGGCTTATTTCTTGTGGGGAAAGCTTCCGCATGCCTGTTGGGTTTGTGGCCGAGATGGCCTTCCTGGGACATCAGGGGTTAGGCAAAGTTTGGGTCTGTCATTGAAGGGCGGGGCCGTGGTCTCGGCGGGAAGGAGAGCCTTTGCTGCCCCCTAGTGTTCCAAGCACACACTGCATCGCTTCTGCACAGGAGGAGTGGGGAGAGGGAGGGAACAGCAGGGTGCGGCCCAGGCTCCCTACCTAGGAGGTTACCTACTTGCTGATAACGCCCAAATGAATATCTCCAGCCCTGACCCCTCCCTGGAATGTCAGACTTGCACCTCTAACTACCTACACGACAGCACCACGTTTCATGGGAGTTGCAAACTCAACCTGGTCTGAACAGGACTCTTCACTGTCTCCCCCAACCTGCTCCCCAAGCGTTTTCATCTCATTTTAGCTGGAGCAAAACTTCTAATCTCCTCCCTTGCTTCCTCGCTTTCCCTCACCCCAGCATCCAATCTGCCCTCGAAGTCCAGCTTCACTTCCAAGTGCCATGCCCAGGCTGCCCACTTCCTTCCACCTCCACAGCCAGCTCTCACCTGGACAGCGGCAGCTCCTGCATCCCTCTCCAACAGGAGGTACGGGGATTCTCTCCAACCCAAATCAGATCCTGACACGCTGGTCCATAAACCTCAATGGTTTCCCACCTCCCTTGGGAGAAAGCCCGAACTCCTTACCCTTGGCTTACAAAGCAGGTGCACAATCTGCCTGGAAACCTTCATCTCATCCTCTCTTCCATTACCTGCCTCCACAACACAAGCCTTCTCATTGTTCCTTATAGACTCCAAGTGTGTGTTGGTCTCAGGGCCACTTCCCTGGCTGCTCTCTCTGCCCCAGATCACATGGCCAGTACCCCTTGGAGGGACCTTTCCTAGCCCCCCACCTAAGACAGCCACCCAGGCAATTCAGTCACATCAGCCTGTCTGAATTCTCTGCATCGCACTTACCATCTTCTGATATTTTTGTGTATTTAATGTTTCACTAATTTCATTTTTATGGAAGTGAAACATGCACACAACTGAAAGCTTTCACTAACACTAAGGGGCCGGCAGCAGACTGGCTCTGGACAACCTCCCAATGTCAGTGTCTGCAGATTTTGTCTCTGGGACCACTCAGGTTTTCCAGAGAGTTCTTCAGCTTCCTGCCTGGGGTTATATCTCTGGTTGCCTCTGTGCTGGGAGCAGGCAGGTGAATGTGGCAAAGGGTCCCACTGTTAGAGGGAAGGACTTTCATTTTTTTTTTTTTTTTGTCTTTTTTTGTGTCCGGCAACGGATTGCAACCCTCAGTGGCGCGCCCGTACCGGACCGGGACCGGCAACGGGATCGCAACCCTCGGTGTCGCGCCTGCACCTCGCTCAGCCAGTGAGCGGGAACCAGTCTGTATGTGGGATCCGAACCCTCGGCGGGAGCACCGCCGCGCTCCCAAGCGGCACACTGTAGCAGTGCGCCACCAGGCCGGCCCGGAAGGACTTTCATTTAATCCCTGTTTTCAGCCCTGCACCTCTCCCCAGGCCCCTGCCTAACCCAGTGCCTGCATGCAGAGCCCTCCGGCTCAGTTTCTCCAGTGGACAAACCTCTTGGCTCTTGTCGGGTGGGGGAGCATAGACTCCTGGCTCTGCAGGATTTGGAAGAGGGCCTGGGAGTTGGAACATTCAGTGTGCAGCCTCGTAGCCACTCCCTGCCCCGTTGTCAGCCTCACACCTCACCCGCTTCCTCCCAGACTTTCAGGGGTTCTGAGGGGAGAATTTACCCATCTCTTTCATTGTCCTCCTGTGTAGGCACTTCAGTTATAAATTCTCCACTCTGCCAAATCAGTTACCGCTTTCTCCTCCAGTCTCCGTTTCCCCCAATCCACTGAAATCTCTGTCCTCTTTGTCCTAATGGATAAGACTTAAAGAGACGGTTTCTTAATTCCTATGTGTTTATGATTTTTTTCTTTACTGTCATTTTAGTGGAGTTTTGGGAAGGAGGTCAGATAGATATGTGTGGCCACTCACCATTTTCTTTAAGGACTGTCTGTCACTTGACCTCTCTTGTACCCCCAGTGGTGTGCTGGTTAAAAAATAAATAAGGTCTGATTTGTAGTGCTAATCTCTCTGGTAAAAATACTTCCACCAAGCTACCGACAAGATGTCATGGGGAATTGGGAAGAAATGTGCACAATCGGCTCTCGGGCCAGCGAGGGCTCCAGCACACGACTGCCACCCTTCACTCCCAAGGAGAATGTAATCTCCATAGAAGCAGAGGCTTGGTCTGTTTTGTGGCTTGGTACACAGGAGGCACTCAATAAATATTGTTGGATAAATGAAGGAATGAAACTAGTTAGCTTTATACAATTCTGTGGTTTCAGACTAAGCCCTAATCTCCTGCTACAAAATGAACTTCAACCCTAGCCCAAAGCTGTGACAAAGACTCCTGATGCTAGCTACACACTAAGCTCTGATCCCGGTCACACACTGAGCCCCGACCCTGGTCACAGACTCTGCCCTAACAGTGGTCTCAGATTGGGTTCAGACCCTGGACCTCAATAACCCAGCACTCAAACGGGGCTGGTGGTCTCAGAGGATGAGAAAGCGAGGCCGGCTCATTATGGGGTGGTCTTTTGGGCAGAGGGAAAGGATGTGAGGCATCCTCTGGCAGTCAAGTTCTCAGAGGTCATGGAGGACTCATGAGGCAACCCTCCGGAGCTCTGCTGGGGCTGGGAGCCCTTCCTATCCAGGCCAGTCTGAAATTCCCAGGAGCACACCCAGCCCACTTTCTCCAAGGCGACTCATTTGGGCCTGCAGGGCCAGCTAATGGCTTCCTAGGCCACTCTGAAGGGATGCATTATTGATGGCTTGTAATTGATATGGAGCTGCCCAAGAGTGTCCCGCTGGAATTCAGGCCAGACAGAGGCCAGGGCTTGCCCAGCCCCAAGCCCACATGCACATAGGCATGACTATAGAAACAAGATTCAAGCTGAAGATATGACCCCCAAGTGTGCTGTGGTTCTCCCACTCACTCATTCATTCACCAAGAAGACAGGTAAAGCATGATGATTACATGTTTTAGAATGAAAATGCCTCCCCCAGCTTGGAGGTGAGTCCTGCGTGGCCTCAGTGAGGGGGGATGTCTGCTGCACTGCAGGGAACAAATCTCTGAGAGACAAGGGCTGGTCCTGGAGTGGCACTTGTGGCAGAAGAGGCAGGATGTGTGCGAAAGACACAGGACCAGTAGGTAACAGGGTTGGGGAAGTCAGCAAGGGCCATACCAGGTAGTGCCTTGTAGCCATAGTAAGATGTTTTAAGGACTTCACCCTTTATTTAAAGAGCAACAAGAAACCACTGACATCTTTCAAGCAGAAGGGCGGAGTGGTGGAGGTGGTGGTGCGTTGACCCAGATGAGCATTTTGAAAGGACCTTGCTGACTGCAGAGTGGATAGTGGATTGGACAGGGCCAGGGTGGATATGGGAATACCAGCCGGGAGGCTACTGCAGTGGTCCAGGCCAGAGATGACCAGATCTGGACTAGGATGGAGACTGGAGATGGAGATAAGAGGAAGGATAAGAGAACTATTTAGGAGGCAAGAGTATCAGCACATGGCATGGATTAGAACGGGGTGACAGAGAGGGCAACCTGCTTTGGGGACAGATTTTGACATGCTTCACACCCAGAGAGTGTGGGGTGGCTGGGTGCTCTCAGCCCTCACCCTGAGGAGGAATAACTGACTCTTTAGAGGGAAACTGCCTATGGGCCAAATGGCTCTCTGCTCTGTCACTGGCTGTGACAGCCCGGGGATTCTCAGGATGTTCTAGCTGGTTCCTCCTATACTTAACATGGCCTCCTGTGGTTCCCCCCATTGACTGAAGAGTTGTAAAGGGGCCTAGGAATATCAGGGCCTCGTTAGTCCAATGGGTGAACTGAGGCTTAGAAGTGGGCAGAAGCCTTCTGTCTTGGGGGAAAGGGTGAGGGCTAGGGTAGGACCACATGGTGCAACAGAGGCAAGCGGAGGCCAGAGCCCCTGCCTCTGGCTTCCAGCCCCCAAGACCTTGTGCCAGGAACTTGCAGCCTTATGGGCAAGATGGAAGTAACTTGGCCAAACAGGATACAGGGCAGCTTGATGGTAGCGGGGCCAGGAAAGAGCAGGAGGTCCCTACAGGAGGAAAAGCAAGGGCTGGGGGCAGGAGCCCGAGCTCTCGACCCATCACCCCTCCCTCACTCTGTCTTTGGGTGAGTCCCTTTTCCACTCTGGACCTCAGTTTTACTATGTTTAATAAGACAAATGCACTAGCTCAAATCTGTCTGTGACGAGCTCTCTACTGGCTCTGGGATCCTAGCTGGGACAGAATAAAACACAAACGCCAGTCACCTCTTGGTGCTGTCTTGAGGGCCATCCCCTACTCCCTGCTGAAATGCCCCATCCCCAGAGGACCAACTCTTTACAGAAATATAATCTAATCCAGGGCTGGCCCGGTGGCACACTCGGTACAGTGCGGCGCTTGGGAGTGCAGCAGCGCTCCCGCCGAGGGTTCGGATCCCATATAGAGACCGGTCGGCTGACTGGTTGAGCGCGGTGCGGGCGCGACACCGAGGGTTGCGATCCCGTTGCCGGTCGCGGTACGAGTGCGACACTGAGGGTTGCGATCCCGTTACCGGTCACGATAAAAAGACAAAAAGGAAAAAAAAAAAAAAGAAATATAATGTAATCCAGAACCTCTAAAATGTACCATCAGCAATGTATAGCATACAGTAAGAATTACTAGTCGTGCAAATAAGCAGGGAAAAGTGATCAATTATCAAAACGTAAAGCAGTTAATAGCAGCTGACTTCTGTGAATATTTGCATTAATAGACAAGGACTTCAAAATACCTATAATTAATATGTTAAAGAAAATAGGGGGAAAAATGGACAAAATGAATGTAGTATTTCAGCAGAGAATTTGAATCTATAAAAGGAATCAAGGACTTTAATATACAATATCTGAAATTGAGTACTTGGTGGGATGGGTTTAACAGCAGACTGGACATAGTAGAAGATAGGGTTGTTGAACTTAAAGATAGGTCTATAAAAATATATCAAAACTTATAGCCAGAAAAAACAGAGAGAGAGAGAGAGAGAGAGAATGGGGGAACAGAACAGGGTGTAAAAGAGACATGATCAAACAGCCTGACATAGAAAGCTAGAGCTCCAGAAGGAGGAGAGTGAGAAAATGGGACAGAAGCAATACATAAAGAAATCACGGCCATGAACTTTCCAAATCTAATGAAAAACATCAACCCATAACTTCGAGAATCTCAGAGACTCCAGAGCAGGATAAATACAAAAAACCACACCTAGACACCCTGCTGAAAACAGGCAGCAACAGCACAGCTCTCAGGCTCCCCAGGGCTCATGTGGGCCCAGGCCTCTGGGAGAAAAGGTGCATGGTGGCTTTGATGACATTGTGAAGCAAATCTTCCATTGGCAAACTGGCCTGGTGGGAAAAAAAGACCATCCCCAGGCTTGGGAAGAATTAAAGTGCAGTCACAGCCCCACTCAATGCACGTCATTAGCTAAGTATTCTAATCAGATAATATGA